GAGAGGAGCCTGGCTTGGGGCCAGGCTGCTGCAAGCTTTGCCTTTGTAGCTGCAGCAGGGACAAGCATGTTCAGCAAAAGGGTAAAGGATCAGTCCACTTCAGCTAATGCTACTGTAAGCATCCCTGAGAGCACCAAACACAACCCTTACTTGGAACTAGGGAAAATTTGGCAGTCCTGACATTTCCAGTGTTTCTGGGTGTGCTTTTATTTCTTAAGCAAAGTGAGAAGAGAAAATAGTCATTACCATCTTTTGAAATTCACTAGAGCTACGCAAGAATACAAATCTTTCAGAGCCATCTCTCTCCTCACCCTGCCAAATGAAATGCAAAATAAAACTCCATTGTTTTGCTCCTATGTTTCTTGTGCCTTATGGCTTGAGTCGTGGATCTTCTTGGCTGGAGTCCATCCCAGTAACGATTTAATTTGGGAACCACACTTCACCTTTCTAAAAATAAGGAAAACTGAGAAGAAGACCAAGGAGGCTGTGCTGAATAAAGATCTGAAATGACTTCTCTGGGATCTCAAAGAAAATATGTTACCCAGAGAACGCATAAAATCAAATATTATAAGCCTGCCTCTATGCAGCAAACTGTTTCCTGGCATTTTAGCCCTGTTCTACAGTCTGGACCTTTTCCAAAGAGAGAGCAACAAATCATCACTCATATCTTTTTTATTTTTTCCCCTCAGACACTTAGTAAGAACCAGGCACATACACAAAAATAAAAGAATGTAGAAAACATTTACCCACTTCTGTTTGGTTCCCAGTGTTTTTAAAGCATTTGACTCAAACTGTTACCCACAAGTAACTGTCAAACTCTTGCAGAACCAAAACCAGACAGATTTCCCCAAATGGGACAGAAATAAATCTAAGCACCCGTGACTTAATGGGACAAGACATGCGATAGGTACTTTCACCTAGAAAAAGAAGAGAAGCAGCAGGATATAGCAGCTCTGCCTTCTCAGGCTGTATGTATATACATGGGAACAAAGCCTACATGATGCTGAGGGTCCAGATACCCCTTACACAAATTGAATCCCATGTTCATGCTGGGAGGACCTCACTGCAGCATGCAGCAGGTGGAGAAGCACACAAAGCCTGTGGTCAGCATGTGGACCCTTGCTCAGGGGGGAATGGTGCCACCAGCTGCAAGCTCTCAGCTCTCTGCAGACACTTCTGCTGCAGAAAGCCCATGAGGCTGTCAGAGTGATGCAAAACTGCAAGGATAACAGCGCTTACAAAAACAGGGTCTCTGAATGGCTCTGGAAACCTGCAGCACACAGCTGCTGAAAAACGGGAAGGGGGGGAGGCAATAAATAAAAAGAAGTCCCAGACAAACCCAGCCACAGAGAAATTTGGCTGAAGAAACAGGAGTTTTGCTGAGAATGAAGGTGAAAGAGGACCAATGGCAAAAATACCACAGCAGCATTTTAAATTGTTAGGTAAAACTGAGCTTCTTCAGTGACCATCAGTGCAGACCCTCGCAGCACCAGCAGCTCTGCATTGAACAGGAGACTGCTCACCACTGGCAATGTTTGCAGCTCCCTGGACTGCAGGGCTGGAGGATGAGGAGCTGAAAAGCCCCACTTCAGCAGCAGCAGGGCTGGGAACCTTTCCTTTTCTTTCTCCCTGGCAAAAATACACCCTAAGTGTGGCTAGTTACTCTCTGTTACTAAAATGTAGGTCTTGGCTGTAAATCAGGAATGTCCCTTGAAAGGTGCCACCAGAGCCACCGTTGGTCCTCTGCCCCTTCTGGCTCCTTGCAGCTGGAGAACAGGAGCCTGAATGCCATTATTCTTCGTGATTGCTTGAGAAAAAGTAAAGAAATAGGACTGCAATGCAAGGGAGAGCTGTGGAACAGTTAGGCAAAAGGCCTCTGGCCATGTCCATTTATTACTAGATATTAAGGGTATTAAGCTCAAGCTCAGATGGCATTTGTGAGTCACTAACCATCTTCCCTCACATGTTTGGGGATTGTTTTCTGGCTCCTGTAAGATGCCAGAGTTCTGTTTCCAAGCACAGCTCTGTGACCCTGCAGAGCCCCTCCAAGATGCCATTTGCTCTGCAGGTCATGTTCACCTTCCTGCTGCCCAGGGGATGCCCTGCTCCCTGCTGGGAATGGTCCCGCCCTTGAAAATGGGTGACGGGAAGCCCTGGGGATGGCACTTGACTCCCAAGAGCAGAGACGGCAAGCTGGGCTCAGAGGTGGCTGCTGCTTTTGGTGGCCATCAGAGCCCACTGCAGGAGCCACCTGAAGAAGAAGACTGGCTGCAAGCATGAGAATATAGACAGAGGAGTGGCAGCTCCAGAGGCTCCCAGGGAGGCAGGGAATGGAAGGATGTGTCTGTGCCTTACCCAGGGTAACAACATGGGTTACTGTGCCCTGTCACCCGGCCTGCCTTTGGTATTTCACAAGATCACATAGTCCTTTAGGGAAACAAAGGCCATTATTGTTCTCCAGGTGCACAGCTAAGCTGTGTTCCCTCCTCTCCGCCTGCACCTCACCCCAGAGGGGCAAGTGAATTCCCTTTCTTGCATGGACACAGGCTGGAGTCATGGGAGCACCCCATTCCCAGTGGGGTGATGGGCAAAGAAGCCATCAGGCAATAGGCTCTGCAGGAAACAGGGCAGCAGGGACAGCATCCCAACTGGGCAGCAGGACTTTGGGGATGCTGGCTGGGTCCCCACCAGCATGGATGCGTGTGGTGGGTCAGCAGAGGAGCTGACCAGGCTGAGAAACACATCAGGAAGTGGGCAGAGAGAGTGGTTCCCGGGGGGGGGCTAGGGCAGTGGCTGGAGGAGTTGACAACACGCACACAAAGCTGCTGGCAAGGGGCCCAGGAGCTGGCGGCCAGCCGGGGTGGGGGGAAACAAAGAACACCACTAAAACAGGCACAACCCAAGGGGGCCAGGCTGGGGAGGGGGAGCTTGTGGAGGCCTGCAGTCCTAGGCTGCCATAGCAGGAAGGCAACAAGGAGAGGATCAGGTCTGTAAGTGCATCAGGGGTTTGCTGCACGTAGCTGCATGGGTTTTGAGCCAGACTTGAGATCTGGGTCTGGGCTCATTGGCGTACCTGCCCAGAGGTGACAGAGCCTTGTTGTGAGGAGTGTAGTATCTCTGTGGATCAACAACCCAAAGAGGAGGCAGGAAGCTGGGAGGAAGGTTCAAAGATTGATTTTCATTCTGGCAGAAGGGTGGGGAATGCGAGCGCTGCCTCTGAGGTCCTGGATAGCTCAGTATATGACCTGACGATCTGGAAACAAAGATGAGCAATATACCAAACATTTTTAAGAGATGACTCAAAGCTATGGACTCTTGAGAAGATCAGAAAGGACTGTAAGTGAAAGCACTAATGTGGCAAATGGGCAACACCACATGTTTGCCAAGGCTTAACTGGGCACGTGCAAAGTCAGAAAGAAGAAAACAAATCACACGTAAGTATTACTAAGCTCCAGATGGTCTCTAGCAGCTCACGAAGGGATCTGGATGTCACACAAGCCCTGGTTCTGTGAGTAGCTGCAGCTTAAAAAAAAAAGACCAAAAACCAACCCAGCACACACAAAATATTAGCATGCAGAAGGAATAAGGGGAGAATAATACGGAAAATATGATAATGTTATTATGTAAATCACTAGCGTGGCCTCTCTGGGAATACTGTCTGCAGTTCAAGTAAGCCTTTCTCAGAAAGGGCTGATTAGGTGCATGGCAAACTCATTCACAAAGAGAGATCAAGATGATTGGGGTTGTTTATCTCGGAAAGGAAATGAACAAAAGGAGATTGGCACAGACCAAGCCAGTCCGGAGCTTCTGGTTTTCTTCCTGTTCAATTCTATCACTGTCATATCTGATGCATGAGAAGTGCATGAAGTGATGTGGCTCTCCTCTGTCACACGCGGTTTGCTATTTCTCTCACCCTCTCCACCAGAAAAGGTATGACACATGTGGTAATGTTTCGTATTTTGGTAGGATCTGGGGAGGAGGAGGAGGTGGCTAAGGAAGAATCATTACTCTGAAGAGTAGGAATAAGGTAGAGGCAAGGATGGAAAAGGAGGATTTGCACGTTGACAGAGGGGCAGAAGGACCTGGCTTCGGGAGGCTCCTTCCATCTCCTCAGGCAGACCCTGCAGAAGCTGCCAACTGCTGCCCTTCTCCCAGAGCCCTAGACACTTCTAGACCAGGTCTTGGGGCTCCTTGGAGGTAAAGATAAGGAGCCTGAATTTGGTTAGTTATTCAGTAAAAAGCATCAGGGTAGTCGGAGGTACCTTCAGACTGAAGAACCGAAGAAACCTGCTCTACTTACCCCACATTACCATGCGCAGCCAGCAGCGACCGCAACAGCCTGTGCTATGGCTGCTGACACGCTGCTGCAGTGTGCTGAACTCCCCTCCTTGCTCACACGAGGCCGTTTGATGGCATTTAGGCCTGTCAGATCCAGAGCACTGAACGGAAAAGCCCTATTAGCGCCGTTCTGGGCCACGGGAAGCGCGCTTGAGGGCACACGGAGCAGCCAAGGCCAACAACCCAGCCCATTTCACCGCAGCACATGAAGCCCAGGCTGCTAACGAGTCCCTCCGTCCCTCCATGGCAGTACAGCCCGACTGCTCCACCCTCGCCTGTCCCCGGCCAGCCTGGGCCCCTCCGAGCCGCACCGCGGGGTCTCACTCGTGCCCTCAGCCCTTCCCCACAGCCTTTCAGGGTGTCCCCGCCGCCTCACCACGAAGCTGTCACCCCCTGAGGCACACGGTCCCCTCAAACCCAACCCCAACCCCAACCCCAACCGGGACCTGGATGGGGGCAGTCCCGCTCCCCGCCGGCAGGGGGCAGCCTCCCGGCGCGGGCTCGCAGCGCGGAGCGTCCCCTCGCGCTCGCCGTACGGCGGCAAGCACTAAGCGGCGCCCGGCCGGTAGGGGGAGCCAGCGCCGCGCTGCCACAGCGGCGGCCGGAAGGGATGGTTTGGGCCCCGGCGAGCTCGCTCGATGATTGGCGGAGGCCGGGGTCGTGCTCCGGAAGCGGCTCGGCCATGTTGGTGGGTGACCCCGGCAGCGGTGCCGGGAGGCAGGCGGCGGTGGGGTCCGCCGGTGGGCAGCGGTTGCCGTGAGGGTCTGGTCCGGCACGGTGAGTGCGCGGCGCCGGGCTTCAGGGGCCATTGTGGGGTACGCCCGGGTGCGGGGCCTCGGCGGGGAGCGGGGGCTGCGGGCGGCCCCCCGCAGCCTCAGCAGGGTCCCATCAGAGAGCCCGTTGTCCGCGGCGCGCCGTTAGACGGTTCCGTCCCTCTGGGAGGGAAAAGCTGACTGGGATCACTTCTCTCTAGGTTGCCGTCCCCGCGAACATCCCCCATGGCAGCGTGGTCCCGGCAGGCTGTGCTGAACCTCTACCGCGCTCTGCTGCGCCAGGGTCGTGGGCTGCGCTACACCGACCGGGATTTCTACCTGGCTTTCATTCGCCGCGAGTTCCGCAAGAACCAGGGGCTGCAGCGGCTGGAGGACAAGGAAAGGCAGTTGGAGAAGGGGCAAGCTTTCCTGCAGAGCAAGCTCGGGGGCCTGGTCTAGAGAGTCCCTATAGTTCCTTTTGGCCCCACTGCCATCTTCCTTCCAAATACCCTCGCCAACCGAAAGAGATGATTAACGCTCCCTGACCACCATTGCCTTGAAGAAGCCCGGAAGGTGCCTTCACAGGCACAGCAGGAGGGCTCTCCTCGTTACAAATGCATTAGGTCACAGGTAGGTCATTTACAGTGATACAACCGTGTTCTTTGCATTGCTGTTACGGTTAGCTTTGTGAAAGTGCATTTTTTCTGCCTAGGGATGAAGAGTGATGGGGTTCCTGGTTCATCCCGGTTCATTCAGACTGAGGTTTCAGCTTGGTCTTAGAAAGACCTAAGGACAGTTTTAAACTACCCAAGTGGGGCAGAGTCTGAGCTTTTGGCACTGGCTTAGAAAACAGAGTTTGATTCAGATTGTGAGAGTTTCGTGGTGTTTTCATGCCGTTTGACTGAGGACCCCTCTATGGGTATAGCGGTGGCAAAGTGTGTTTTACACATGTCGTTCGCCAGGGAGACTCTTTAAAGTTAAACATCAAGATGAGGTTAAGTGGGAAACAAAAGTACATGTGTAAGAAAACATTAAGGTTCATTGTCTAAAAACTGATTCTGGGAGTGGATTCTCTGAAGCTTCTGATTTGTTATGGGTATGCAGTTGACCATCCCTGCATTGCCTTGTCTGTGAGCAAAACTACATGCATTAGAATAAGAAAGTAAATTAGCGTAAAAAGCACCGTGCTTTGTTTGAGAAGCCCAGGTTTGAAAGACCTGAATGGTCTTAGAGTTTTACATAATAGACAGGATTTTATTGCAAAATATTGCTCAAGTGTTACTTTCTTTTTTAAAAAGCATTAGGTGATTGCACAGTTACAGAATCATAGAATGGTTTGTGTTGGAAAGGACCTTAAGATCACCTAGTTCCAACCCCCTGCCATGAGCAGGGATGCCTCACACTAGACCAGCTTGCTCAGGTCCACGTCCAACCTGGCCTTGACCACTGCCAGGGATGGAGCATTTACCACTTCTTTGGGCAGCCTGTTCCAGTGCCTCACCACCCTCACAGTAAAGAACTTCTTCCTTATATCTAACCTGAACTTCCCCTCCTTTAGTTTAAACCCATTACGCCTTGTCCTATCACTACAGTCCCTGATGCAGAGTCCTTCTCAGCATCCTTGTAGGCTCCATGCTTTGATTAGAAGCCCCGCATCAAATCTGGGATGTCTTTCTCCAGGTTATAAACGGAGCTGAAAGCAAAAGAAATGCTGTCATTGCAGAGCTTGATCAATACTGTTATCGTGTCTTGAGAATAAGCAGCTTTCTGAGGGAAGATAATTAAAGAGGCTGCAGAATTAAGTAGTCCCTTCCTATGGCTACGTGCTAGCAGCCCAAGAGCTGTGAGCATGGGGTGGAGAAGGGAGTGAACTGTTGGGGTTGTGTGTTTTGACCTGTTTGCTTAATGCTTCTGCTCCTTCCAGGTGAGATGGCAGGCGCTGGGCAGCGCAAAGGGAAGAAAGATGACAACGGCATCGGCACAGCCATTGACTTTGTGCTGTCCAATGCTCGGCTTGTGCTGGGTGTGGGTGGAGCTGCCATGCTGGGCATCGCCACGCTGGCTGTCAAACGGGTGAGCATGGGGGCACCGGGGTGCTGGAAAGAGGGAATGGGAAAAGCCCCAGGATGCTGGTGCTAGGCTGGATAAAATGCAAGTGATAGGCTCTTAACGACTCAAACTGTGCCTGCTGATGTTTCTTTAGATGTACGACCGGGCAATCAGTGCTCCCAGCAGCCCCACTCGCTTGAGCCAGTCGGGAAAGAGGAGCTGGGAAGAGCCAAACTGGCTGGGCTCCTCCTCACGCTTACTGACCCAGGACATGAAGACTAGCCTCAGCCGTTCCCTGCAGACCCTTCCCACTGATCCTTCAGCTGCAGACACGGGTAAGGAGCAGGGGGATACTTCTGCATTACAGAGTTGTCCAGGCCTGTAAACCTTGTATTCATTTAAAGGGTTACAGGAAAAAGAATGCTCTGTCTAGCTCAGGGTTTTGATATTTTCTTTTAAACAAGTCTGTTGGTAACTTCAAGAATTAAAAGTCAGGTTGGAAAGTAGTAAATAATAGTCATCTGTTTGCATTCTTAATTCCTCTTATGGTTTTGAGCTTTATTCTCCCTCAGTCTTTTATCTTTCAAGCTGAATACTTACCTGGGCAATCTTTCCTGATAAAAAAACATCCCATTCCTTTCAAGCTCTTTGTTGCTTTTTTAGACCATTCCAGTTTGTTTGTGGGTTGTTTTTTTCTAAGAGGGGAATATGCAAATTGTGAACGTACTAGCATTTTATAACAGTATTTTCAGTGTTATTTCTACCATTTTCCTAATAATTTCTGTAATGCTGTTTGCCTGTTTAGTGCTGTTTATCACTAAGTTAGTCTTCAACAGGCTATGAAAAGTGACCTGCAATTCTCCTTCTGAGTGGGATAGTAAGTAATTTAGAGTCCCTCAGTGTTTGTTATATGTGTTTGCTTGTTTTTTCTCACTGATTTTATCTTCTATCCCTGGTCACTTCAGGAGAGATATACTTGGAGATTTAAAGTAAAAATTAGGATCAAGCTTTTAACTTGATTTCCAGATTCTCTGAAGGAAAGTCAGCTTCAGGATGGCAGTGGATTTTCTGCTGAGGATTAGGCAGAGCTAGGCAGCTGTGTTAAATAGGGTTTAGATCATTTGATCAGAATGCCCAAAGATGAGTATTGAGGAATACAACCACTGATGATGGTGTCTTGCATTCTTGACTTAAAAATAACTTAAAATGGAAAAATAAGGGATTTTTGTTTCATGAACAGGCAATGAAGTCTGGTTCCCTGTGGTTTTGTGGGCCATTTCCATTTCACACAAAACCTCAGATCTGTCCAAAGCCTCCAGTGGGACAAGAGACAGCAGCTGCTGAGGTTGGGCAAGATGTGTTTGTGTGCAGCTTGGTCAGCCATTCTGCATGTGCTGCGTGGCCAAATGCCTGTTGCCGAATAACTGTGCGACAGCTGATTGCCTTAATGGGGCCACTGACTTGGGGTTTCTCCTGCACCCGTTAGGTACTAGAGCCCTTCCAATGACCTCTTAGATCTGTAATTCTCATTCATAACTTCTGAAACTCTTGGTCCGTGTTAAAAGGATTCTGAAAGATAGATGGAAACACTGCCATTTCTTTAGGAAGCCAGTCAGACAAAAAAGGGGCTTAGAGAATGTGTGCAGGTTAGACACTGCTTAGTAATGCAGGCGGCAGCATGAAGCATTGTGTTGTGCCTAAGAGTAGGTCCTCTTTTCTTTGGACAGTGAAAGCTTGAGGGAAGTTTGCGTTTGGGGCTATGACGGCCTGAGCTCTGCTAGCCCCAAGGTCTGTCACCTCATCATCCTGATAAGTGTTGGTCAGGCTCCTAACAACTATTTCATTACACGATGGTGTGATCTCCTCTGATCTTATTCCAAATCCATTATAATGTTAAAAACATAGTGAGATAGTGATGGTTGTTGAAGAGTGTCTTATCCACTGGTCTGGCATCATGCTGAGAGCTTCTGAACTGGTAACAGTGCTGAATTTTTGATGAAATTGAACTGGGGTGCTGCCCACATAACCATTAACGTCATGCCAAGGAAGTAATCTTGGTCTGTTCTGGCTAAATTCCAAATCTAGTAACTTGTTTTCATCTGGTTTGTTGCTTGTAGTAGTATCTTTTGAAGTTTCTCAGCACCTCCCTTTTGACTGGTACCTGTGTAAAGCATGCAAAATGTCTGCTAAAAGCTTTCTGAGACTTCGGAGGCTGCACTTCGCACTGCAGATTTTCTTCTGCGGATCACTTCATGGTGAGACACTGCAGAGGATCAACAGTTTTCCTTCTGTCTTGCAGACTTTTTCCGACCCACAAAGCCCAAGCCATCTGCCAAGAGGAGTCAAGTGGAGCTGAAAAAATCTCGCCTTCGCCTGTCTCTGCAAGAAAAGCTTTTTGCTTATTACCGAAGGAAGGTGGCTATCCCAGGAGATGAGCAGGCCCGGGCCAAGCAGGCAGCCGTGGATATCTGTGCTGAGCTGCGCAGCTTCCTACGTGCCAAGCTGCCGGACATGCCCCTGCGTGACATGTACCTCAGTGGCAGCCTCTATGATGATCTGCAGGTAATTCCTGGGGCCGCATGACAGGTCATTATCCAGAAGGCTGACAAGGCAGGGGCATCTCAGGCTTCCCTGTTGGCAGTGCTGTGTCAGCACAGCATTCCTCTGTAATAAAAGGCTCCTGGTGTCGCCTTTCCCACAGTGGAGCCAGGCGTTTATTTCTGCAGTACTGTTGGAACAGGCATGACCAGGCTGCTCTGGCACTGTTGGCAAAGCATTGCTTTCTGCTGGTTTATTTCTCTGGATTATCTCAGCCCTTCTTTCCTTCCCCTCTGACCCTCCCTTTAGCTGTATCTTGCTGTTTCTCTGGTAGACCTGTGTTTTCTCTCCGTCCCTTCTGTCTCCTTCCACATACATGATATTCCCCTAGAACTCCTGTGTATTCATACAGGTCTTCCCTTGGACAGCAGCCCCTGCTGCATATCTTCCTGATGTGAAGGTGCCCATGGCTATAGTGAGTGATTCAGAGGCACGCTTTTTTGTTTGAGTCAGAGCTCTGGAACGGAGTGTCGAGGGTCCAGTGAAACTTAGATCTGAGGTCTTAATCACATTGGTGAAAAGGGATCGTTAATGACCTTTTTCCAGACAACATAGCAGACCAGGTGAGGGCAGTACCTGGTTGTACAGTGGGATAATTAAACTTTGCCAATTTAAGTTTGTTTAGAAACTCTATACTCTGCTTCCTGTTTTATATTATCATGTGCTGCTGTGCCCTGGGTTAGCTGCATCTCACATCCAAGGAGTGGACTTAGAGTAATAGGAGGCAAAATGAGTCATCTATATGGAGTCCATGATAGGTCCTGAAGTATTTAAAGATTTCTAAGTAGGACATACCGCATGAGCACTAGCTGGGG